TGGAGTGCTTTGCCCCCTAAGACTGATCTGTGAAAGTGTCTAGCCAAGTGGCAATTAGGTCCATTCAGTGGCAGTTTCAGAATTTCTGAACATGAAGGATCTGCTTGAAGGGGGGTGGGAACTTGATTTGAGGAGTATTTTTTTTAAATATATTTTTATTGATTTCAGAGAGGAAGGGAGAGGGAGAAAGAAACCTCAATGACGAGAGAGAATCATTGATTGGCTGCCTCCTACATGCCTCACACTTGGCATGTGCCCTGACCGGAATCGAACTGTGACCTCCTGGTTCCTAGGTCGATGCTCAGCCACCGAGCCATACCCGCCGGGCTTGAGGAGTATTTTTATGCCCTGTGCAGTGTTGTCATTTGGATTGAATGCTTGTGTGGAGGGACTCTGAGAGGACTGCTGCTGCTGCTGATGGGAAGGTATATGTGGGAGGCGTTGGGGTGACTATGGCCCATTTGAAGGCAATGGAAGAGTTGGATTAACTGTAGGTATGAGGCTGGGCACAGCCATGACTGGAGCTGGGCACCTAGGAAATCATATTAATCCGGTTAGGCCAGCAGAGACCCTCTTCAACAGCCCCCTGAACCTAAAAAGAGTCATATTTTATATGGTGCCAGGTCCACCTGCATATTCTTCTCTCAGAAGGAATTGTCTGGAGAGGTGGAAAGCAGGAAGGATTTGCATAGCAAATCAGTGCCCTGCGGGTACCACACACAGGCCCTCCTGTGCGGAAGGAAAGGGCTTTGGGCCAGGTTGCTAGGCTCCTTCTCCCTGCTCGCCTCCCTCTGACAGTATCTGCTGTGCTCCTGCATTCCCTCAAGGTGCCCTTCATGACACTTTAAAGGGGGACCAGCAGAACGCCTTCACCTGCCCAGAGACCTGACACTCATCAGCAGTTCCCAGAAATTCCTAGTCATACAAAGTGACATTATTTGTCTCGCCCCTTCTAAATGTGACCTTATCAAGGACAAAAACCATTCCTTACTCATGATGTCTTAGTGTGGGTTCCCCCAAAAGCAGACCCTGAAACAAGGACTCCGTGCAACTCATTTATTTGGGGGGCAATCCCAGAAAACTCAGGTGAGTCAGTGAGCCAGGAGAGGGAAGGCAGCAAGATAGGGTGTGCTATCAAGCCAGTTACTACTGTGGGCAGCTGAGACTTCAGCTTGTGAGGACCTCTGGGAGATGGTACTGGGCACAGCTCTCCCTTACCACACTGAGTAGGAGGGAGCTGGGGTATTTATCCACCAACTGCTAACAGCCATCAGTTGAGGCTGTTCTTAGGGAGACTTTAGTTCCTGACCTTGCATCTGCACCAACTGCAGGTAGGGTGGGCTCCAGCAGCTGGAGATAGTCCCCTAGCAAAGAGACACAGTTACTGGCAGCAGAAAGTCAGGTTGCATTTGTACACTGAAGTGATAAAACCAAGAGGCTACAGGTAGGGGACAGACAACATCAGCTGTGCCTTCCCAACATGGCTCAGCACTGGCAATGAGCAGATCCTCAATAAAGCAGGTTGGTTGAACTCAGGGAGCTCTGCTCCTATTAGTTCTCCAGCAACCTCAGAATACTGCTATCAGCTGGCAGTGCTATGTAGGATCAAACAACTGACATTGGGGTGGTTTCTCCTGACTGATGGCATCTTCCAGGAGCCCAACGCCCCTTACGTATTCAAGCAATAGTTCTCAAAGTGTGTTCCCTGGACGAGCAGCAGCATCAGTTGGGAACTTGTTAGAAACGCAAACTCTTGGGACCTTCCCTAGAACTACTGAATCAGGAACTCTGGGGGTGAGGCTCAGGAATCTGCATTTTAACAAGCCTTCCAGGTGATTTGAATGAACCCTGAAGTTTGAAAACCACTATGTTAGACTAACTTTTAGGACAGTCTCCAAGCCCATTTGCTGTTTGGCTACAATGCTTCTCTCTCCCAACCTGAAGCACCAGAGGAGAAAGGCAATGGAGCCTCTAGAAACCTTTCAGACTTTGGCCCTTTTTTATGAGTTTTTCTTTTTGGGGGGAGGTCGGGGGCTTATTAAATATATGCTGTGCCTAATTACCAATGGCCCCCAATGGAGAGCACAGACATATATACTATAGAAGATAACCTGAAAGGTGTCTGCTTTGGATTTGACTAAAAAGACAGACAGAGGATGGGTTTGATTTATGTTCCTGTTTGTTTTCCTGAGCTAATATTTAAATTCTTTTAGTTGCCCTCTGAACACACCAGGTGGGAGATAGGGGAAAAGCCAGGGGTCTGCCCTGGAGTTTTAAATCAATCATAGAAAATGTGCAAAGGAAAAAGTTAAGGGTTAGGGTTACCCTCCTCAGTCAATTTGTGTGGGGAAAGTGGGCTTGGTGTAACTGCACTGACCCAGGCCAGGCCGGGGTAGGAACATATGGCATTGGGGTGGTTTCTCCCAGGCTGACTGATGGTCTCTTCCAGGACAGGCACCTCTCATTGCTTCTCCAGCTGTGCCAGGGCAGAATAGTACCCAGATGTGTTCCTTTGTTCAGGAGGAGCTCTCAGTCCCCTGATACCAGCAGTGACAGCAGGCCTTGTGGGGGCCACCCCAGTGGTGTGACATCACAATGTAGTCCATTCAGGATCTTGGGGCTGACTTGCCCCTGGACCCAGGATATAAGCTTACCCTCCTAGGGCTTAAAGGGCCACAGCAACAGAGACAAGCACTAACCTACCAGGCACTCTTGGTGAGTATTTAGACTTCCTGAGAACCGTGGAAAGAAATGCAGCCAATGGTGGGCTGGCCCAGTGCTTTTCTGGTTGCAGGAAGTCATATTCTAATCACCTTCAGCGCCCGTTCTGCCACCTGCTCCAGCTCCCTAGACAAAGGTCAATTGTGCGTTTGATAGAGGCTCAGGGCAGGGAGACCAGGCTCTCAGATAGGAAACCCACTGGAGCATCACTCTAAGTGCCAGCCGAGGACACAGGCAGCCATTGGCCCAGCGAGGCTCCTCAGAGAGAGAGATAGAAACATCAATGATGAGAGATAATCATTGATTGGCTGCCTCCTGCATGCCCCCCACTGGGGATAGAGCCTGCAACCTAGGCATGTGCCCTGACTGGGAATCGAACCTTGACCTCCTAGTGCATAGGTCAACGCTCAACCTAGCGTTGTGGTGCTGCAAGGCATGCCGCAACCACCTCCCCTCCAAAACCGTGCATGACAGCCCCTTCTCTCCTACACTTTGCCTTCTCTCTTTGGCTGTTTATATCCAGCTCCCATGGCCCCCAGTGTATCAAATCTCTTCCTTCCCTTTAGGGACAATGAAAGAGATCTGTGACCATGCTAGGAAATGGGCAGATGGATTAGAACACCAGTAGAGCAGGCAAAATGGAAGCAGGTGGGGGGCTAGAAGCAGGGCTGAAAGCCATCTTTCTGAGAGGATCCTGGCTCTTCCCAGCGGGGCCACCAGCCATTGGTTGAGAGAGGTCTGAGGGGACTGGGACAGGGGCACACAGGAGGCAGAGCCAGCCTCCCCCACATCATGCACTCCCACAGCCTACCTGTCCATCAGCTTCATGCATCCAGATGGGCCCTTTGCTGCCGGTGAGAACCAACAGGTCTGTGCAGCCGCAGCACACTTCCCACACAGGGGTGGTTTTTTGGAGGACCCAAGATTTTGAGCAGCTTCTGGCATTTTCTGAGTGTTTAAGGCAGGAAGCGAGGTAGATGGTGGGAGAAATGTTCTACCCTGAGGCTGTGCCATCCTCCTTGGTCTTATTGTGATGGCGGACACAGACCTGTACTTCACCCAGAGTCCGTCAAGCCTGCCGAGAACAGGTTAGCTCCACCGGTGATGATGCACATTTAAGAGGGGCATTAACCTAGAATTTATATGCACTCCACATAGAGACCAGGGTCCCCAACATGAGAGCACTCTGAAGATAGAAGGGGAACAAGAGTGTGCCTGTGAAAGGGTCCAGGCAAACCAGGTGCCATCCATCAGCAGGGCTGGGACAGGATCCTTGTTGGGAGCTGGCCCACCAGATCTTTAAAGGCCGTTCGAAATCTCGGATTGTAGGACATGGGTCTTGATACCTTGCTAATCCTCCAAGTGCAAACCCAAATGGGTCAGACCTCCCAGGTGGCTGTGAACTTTGTGAGGAGGGGAAAACTGGAAAGAACTGTAGTGATCAGCTTCATGGACCTGTTGGGCCCCAGGTAGGAACCAGGAGGCTAGGGCAGGCTAAGGGGGTGGTTTACGGCCACAGAGCCAATTTGCAGAATGAGTATTTGTTGAATGAATAAAGGAAAGAGTGATGGCCCAGGATTGGAACCAGCCTGAATGCTAATCAAACATCCCTTCGCCCACCTCTCTTCATTTCCCAAGATTTTCCTATCAAAATTGCATGCTTTGGCCAACATTTACTGAGCACCTCTCGTACGCCAACTGTGTTCAGAGATTATTTCATGTAATCAGCCCCAGCCCATCAGGTGGCTGTCATCGTCCCCATTTCTCAGATGAGGATGCTCCAGATGTTCAGAAACGTGTGAAGATGCCACAAATACTAAATGTCAGTGTGGGTCTCTCTAACTCCAAGCAGAGAATGCACCTGCACCTGCTGCCTCCCAGCGTGTGCAAGGAAGCATTTTCCTATTGATGCTTCCTAAAGACAAACTGCCAGTGACTCCCCCACTTCCTCGGGGACTATTATTTAGCCCCTCCGTGATTTTTTTTCCTGGCTGATGTTGGGCTTCCTGTGGGCCTGCCTGGTTCATTGCCCATGACTCTCACCCTGACTGACGGGAAAGATGGAGCGGCCGTTTCCACACCAACAGATGTTATGCGCCAAGGAAGAAAATATGCTAATCGAAATCAGCTTTGGCTAATTGTAGCAATTTCCCTTCTGCATGTTGCCCTGAAATAGTAGCCATACTCTGTTCTTTTTTCACGTCAGGGAGCCCCAAATTGGCAGCATAAGTGAGGTTGCAAAGAAGTCAGTTAAACAGGCCTCTTTGCTGCCAGTTACCATGGATGAGGCCTTGAACGTGACCTCTGGGTAAGACCCCGGTTTAGCTGCTCATGGACTTGGCATCTTGCTGTGGATAATTTGGACCTGCTCTTGGGCTGGAAGAGCCTCATTTAATCCTGGAGGAAACTGGAACCTCCAGGGATTTAATGAAGTGCCAAGGCCAAGAGCATATGGTTTGACCTTGAACCTTGGCTCACTTCTTTGTTCCATAGCCAGTGCTGGCCAATAGAACTTTCTGCATTGACAGTGATGTTCTCATCTCCGCTGTCCCATGTGGTAGTTACATGTGACTATTGAGCACTTGACGTGGCTAGTGGGACTGAGGAACTGCATTTTCAATTACACTTAATTTTAATTTTACGAATTCTAATTTTAAGTTTACTAAGTTCTAATGTTAAGTTTGAGTTTAATGTAAAATAGCCTCATGTGGCTAGTGGCCAAAAACTGGATGGAACAGCTGTAGCCCTGATGACTTTTGTGACTTCATCTCTTGACTTCATGTCCCAATTCCAGCTTTCCTCCTTCCCTCTATATTCACCATCAGACTGGTTGTCTGTGCCTCAAACAGCAAGCAGTCCCTACTCAGAGCTTTGGCACTTGCTGTTCCTTCTGCCAGCAGCACCTTTTCCCCTCATCTTTTTATAGTTTGCCCCTGGTCAACATCAGGGCCTCATATCAAGTGTGTCTTCTCAGAGAAAGCTTTCTTATGTTGTTATCTAATATCGTTTATATCCCCTACTTGAAATTGTTTCTTATTCTCTGTACCTATGGGCCAGAAATTTGGGCAGGGCTCGGCTCCATGTGACATCAATGAGGGTCACTTGCTCAGTTGCATTCAACTGGGGGCTGGGCTGGACTAGGGGGTCTGAGGAGGCTGACCTTAGTCATCTAGAATTCACGGGTCTCTGGTGGCATCTCCATGTGGTCTCAGGATAGTTGGAATTTTTTGTATCTATCTTCTTATTGATTTCAGAGAGGAAGGGAGAAAGAGAAATAGAAACATCAATGATGAGAGATAATCATTGATTGGCTGCCTCCTGCATGCCCCCCACTGGGGATAGAGCCTGCAACCTATGCATGTGCCCTGACTGGGAATTGAACCTCGACCTCCTAGTTCATAGGTAAACGCTCAACCACTGAGCCATGCCAGCTGGGCAATAGCTAGAATTTTTCTATGACAGCTGGCTTCTGTTGGTCCAAGCAAGTCACAGGTTGAGCCCAGATAAAAAAAAAGGGAATGGAAATTGCCCATGTCCTGATGGGTGGGGCAGGGTACATGCAGGAGGAACTAGTGGTGGCCACCTTTGCAGACTATCAATAACCCTATAGTGGTGTTTCCCAAACTGGGATGAGTACATGAATCACCTGGGATCTTGTTACCATGAAGATCCTGATTCAGTAAATCTTGGGTGTGGCCTGAGATTCTGCATTTTTAACAAGCTTCCAGGAGATTCGAAGACTGCAGGTCCACAACCACAATTGAAGTAGCGAGTCTGGATTAGGGTACGTAGTCAGGGCTGACCCTGTGTTTAGGTTTGGCCTCACAAATACCACCAGGGATACATCACTACACTGGGTTAAGCATTGCCCCGTCTTACCTCGCTCCATGTGATCAGTCCCTTCTTCCAGGCCTGTGGTGCTCACACCATACCATGGGGGACAACCCCACTCCATCTCCGAATGCTTCCCACACATTCTTCACCAAACTCTACAACCCCTACCTCCTCTACTTTAACATTTGATGCTCATCATACCCCTTGTAAAATTGATGGGGTGGTGATTAGAAACCAAGCTGAATTAGAAACCAAACTCAAACTAGTTTAAAGGAAAAGTGATGTAGGTGGTGGGAATGGCACCAGGTGTCTGACTGGTGGGGTCAGACCAAACCTGGGTTCAGCAACTTCGGTACTTGGATTCTGGCTAGGAAAGAATTCAGAGCCAAGACCCAAACTGTAAGAGAACATTTATTTGGTAAATCACAGAGGTAGAAGAAGTAATTCCTAGAAGAAATGAGCTTAGGAAATAAGTTATAGAAGTAAAGGAAGGGCCCTTAGAACTTGGTGGTGAGGAAGATAACGGTAACATGCCTGGGGAAAGCAGGGGAAGGGAAAGGGACAGGCACTGGCGCGCTCCCGAAAGGAGGGTGTCCTGGGTCCTCCATCCTAAGGGATTTAAGGGTGGAGATTTTAGGGGAGGACCCAGAGAAAGATCTTAATAGAATATTCAGCAGTTTTCCAGGTATGACCTTTTAGGATTTGGTCTCTACTGATTGATTGGCTGGCACCAGGCCAGGGGGTCATTATTCCATGCAGCTGGTCCTGACATCGGCCATAATTGGTTTTGGTGCTTCTCTGGACCTGGAGCTGAAATACATCTGAGGATTAGATGTTATCTCTAGGGAGGAAAGGTCAGGGGGTCCAAACCTCATGACCAGTGATATGCTAGAAAGGAAAAGTCACACTGGGGGCAAGGTCCCACCCTACAATTGATTGTCTATTGCTGGGCACCTGGGGCTTTTCATCTTGGTGACCTTCTGTACCTGGCCCACCGTCCTTGCTCTGCTCATGTCTGTCTAACTGCTTACAACATCATAGCTTCAGGACTGGTTGTATCCGGGCCCTCAGGAATGTCGTCAAGAATCTATTTGTCACCATCTTCATTATGTCTTCCTATCTCAGGCATGCTCTCCCCAAGTGGAGGAAGAAACAACCTCCTGTTTTGCAACCACAGCAAAATGAGAGACCGTTTGTTTTCTAATTTTTCCAGCAAAAGTGCCCGAGTTCTCTCTGGTTGGCCTCGCTGGGGTCACATGCCCACAACAAACCAATCACTGTGGCCAGGGGGATGTATAACCTCATTGGGTAGGCCTGGGTCATGTGTATTCTCTTGGAGCCAGGTGGTAAGGCCCGCCCCACCCAAGCCACATGGAATGAGACAAGAAAGTTTTGATTCTCCATGTAAATCTGGAACTGAGGGAGAGCTAATGGGAAGCCAAGAAATCACCACAATTGGCCATGAGAACAAATGTTCTGTGATGGCTGGGAAAGCAGAGGGCAGAGGCCTTATCAATTCCAGGAGGCTCACAGCTAAGAGACTCAGAATGGAGGTACCGTTGAGGTAAAGAACTTTAGCACCAGAAGAGACTTAAAAATTAGCCCAGGCACGATCCACTGAGCACTGGCACAATGGATGTTAACTGATGTTAAACGGCTATGTGGTCCAGGAAGCTTAGGAGACAATGGATTAGTCCATAGGAGGGCAAGTCCATAGTGCCCTCTCTGTGTAAGGCCTTGAATAAGCTGGCATACACTGTGAATCTCCAAGAATTGGGGGGGTGGGGGTGGGGGGGGCGGGGAAGATTAGAGGCTATTGTTCTGTTGACCACACTTTGGGAAATTATTAACCTAACTCCATCACACCCATTGTATAGAAGAAGCAACTGAGGCCAAGAAAGGGAAACTGGCTTGGGCAAGATCATGCAACTAGTTAATGTCAGGCTTATCCCCAACTGCTGTACTGTGACAGAGCTGATGCTGCAGAGAAGAAGCACCTTGACCTCGGCAGCTCTGTCCCAGTGCTGGTTGTTTTCTTACCTTCGGAGGGTGTTTATTCTCCTTTCTCACAGTCATCCCTGAACAACTGCTCTTAGGCTTTGTGGCACGTCCCCTGTGAGGGTCTACAGGTGCCCAGAGTGCTGGCCCTGCCTGGGGCATGTCCCCAGCTGCTGCAGACCTGAAGGGAACTATTGAAATGCAGAAAGCCACGAGGGACTGGACTTACAAGCACACATTCACCTGACCTGCAAGATGACGCCATTGATGAGGTTGAGAGGCTTGATGTTTGGCCAAATGTGGAAGAGTCAGCAGCAGCCAGGGCGCTGAAAGTGTCAGGAAGGAGGGGCCAGAGGGAAAAATATTTTTCCTGGAGACAGGCATGCTCTTTAAATCAAGACAGATGGTGCGTCAGGGCTGTAGTGTGCTGACGTCAGGTGATTGTTATAACAAAATTTTTTTTGAGGACCTTTCTAGACAGGACACTTCATACATGCTCCTTTTATGACACTTAGTGACCCATAGTTATAAAGAAGATAAACTGGACATCAGTTAGTTGGCAGAACTCACAAGTATTAGCTAAACACAAAGGATTCACGCTCTCCTTCTTGCCAAATACACAATCTTGGATGTGTTATTAACTCTCTAAGCCTCAGTTTCTTCACCTGCTAAATGGGGCTAAACTGAATTCCTGCCTCACAGCTTTGTTCGGAGAATTAAATAAGATAATGTCTGTGAAGTAACAACATACCTAACACATGCATAGTAATGACTACTTATGTGATGGAGGGAATGAAGAAGTTGGATCAGGTTCAAGTTCCCAGTTAGTAAGGGACAAAGCCAAGATAAAACACAGGCCTAGCCAGCCCTGGCCAGGTGGCTCAGTTATTTGGAACGTCGTCCCATACATCAAAAGGTTGTGGGTTTGATTCCTGGTCAGGGCACATATCTAGTTTGCAGTTTCAATCCCCACCCAGGGCACATACAGGAGGCAACTGATCTTTGTTTCTCTCTCACATCTCTCTCTCTCTCTCTCTCTCTCTCTCTCTCTCTCTCTCTCTCTAAAATCAATGAAAACATATCCGTGAGTGGGAATTAAAAAATAAAATAAGCCCTAGCCAGTTTGGCTCAGTGAATAAAGCATCAGCACTTGGAATGAAGGGTCATGGGTTCGATTCCGGTCAAATGCATGTACCTTGGTTGCAGGCTTGGTCCCTAGCCCAGTCAGGGTACGTGTGAGAGGCAACCAATCGTTGTGTCTCTCTCACATCAATGTTTTTCTCTCTCTCTATTTCTCTCCTTCTCCCTTCCACTCTCTAAAAATCAATGGAAAAATATCCTTGGGTGAGGATTAACAAACAAAAATAATAATAATAAAATTAAAAATGCCCTTGCTTGGCTCTTACCTTCCCTACACTGTCACTCAGGCAAGCAGCATTCATGAGCAGATGTGGTGCCTGAGAGGTGCAAAGGGCT